GTGTGTGTGTGTGTGTGTGTGTGTGTGTGTGTGTGTGTGTGTGTGTGTGTGTGTGTGTGTGTGTGTTTTGAATTTTCACCACAACAGCCCCTATTGCACTTAGGTGGGTAGATCCAAAATAGAAGCAGCTTTAACCCTATTACAGACAAGGAAGGACCTTGAGAGTTGAGACAATCCAACAATGAAACAAGCTCACCTCGATAGCAAGCAACAAGTATAATAGAAGCGTTTAAAATTGAAATCCCTTTTCTTAACTGTTGTGTCTGCTTTCTTTGGGGTAGTACCCCTTTCATTTTGTTCTTGCAGCTCCCCTTTTACTGTGCCTCTCATGTACAAGGCTCGCCACGTTGATTGTGTGTTGAGCGCGAGCTGCCCACATCCCCGTGTGTCATAACGGCCCCACTTCACACTATGAAAAGGAGGGAGAGTAAAGGCGGAGTAAAGATGGACGTATATTCGTGTTCGTTTTTCCTAACGATGCTCATTCGTATGCATTACTACCGTCTTCACCCGAATAGAACGCCCGGTCATTATAGCCGTATTTGGTGCAATTTTCAGTCTACATACAGCGATAATGACCGGGCGTTCTATTCGGGTGAAGACGGTAGTAATACACAAGAGGAGGGAGGAAGGAAATGGGAGCTGGAGCTCTGACAGGGTTCTAAATAGTCACCGCTGGAGAGAATACACCGCTGAAGAATCAGAGAGACTACACCGAAACTTCCACAAACAGACATCAATCCCGAAAAGGTTCTAAATAGTCACCGCTGCAGGCCAGTCAATGCAATGTTTGGGTTGCATAAGATTTTGAATTGAGGAGCAGTCGTTGCCTAGTAATGGTAAGTGGCCACCTCTACAGACCGGACAGGACCGGCTCGGGTGTGGCCTGTGGTACCACCGAATCCAATTCTCACAGTCGCAGTTGCTGCATCGAATGGCACTGCGTAGACAGATGTCACAGGGCTATGTGGCTCCCACACGTGATACAAACACAGAGGCACGCTGACCGCAATTGTAGAGGCATCGCCGTTCCCACCCATCTACAAATTAGACATGAGATGTCTGCGTGCCATACATGAACGCGTTATTGACTGTCATCATAACGTATGGAGGCAAAAACTCACGTGGGCTATCCCTCTTCCTAGTCCTCACGGCACAAGGCATGCGAACCACTTGCTAGCTGAATCTCCAGTGGGTCATCACAAAGCGGCACTGAGCAGGTTTCGTTGGTTTGGTTTCCTCCTGTATTTATTCCCTTTCTATTGGCAGATGGCGACGGAGATTTTCCAAAGCAAGGGTGTTTAGCTGCTGCAGGATTTGGTCTGCAACAGCTCGCCCTGGCGGTGATAACCTAGCAGCACAGCGCACTGTAGGTGGTTCATATGGTAATCTATTTTCCTCCTCAGGCTGCTGCGTCCGTCGTTCGTCTGGCAAGGAAGAAGGAAATCCGTCTGCAGTTGCAGCAGTAGGTGTATGCCCAACACCGCATGTAGGATATACTTGGAGAGGATGTGGTGGGCGATGGCTCCGGGGATATATGGATATAGTCCACGCAATAGAGACACATACTTCTACCTGGGCAGCATTTGCACGACTAGCAGCCACTCTGAGCACAAGTGTGGCTGACCAACCTCCGCTTCCTGCATCTGACCCGCCTATTCCTCATCCACCTAACCCTGCTTGCTCCTCTGCGCCAAATGACAATGATCCACCTTCTGATCACCTGATGGACCCCCCCCGACTTGAGATGATCTCTCTGCGGGGCGCGTATTAGATCTAATGGAGTTAATATGGCCAGAGGAACTGACAGAAATGGTCAAGACCACAATGAATCTCTGCCTGCCGTGCAATTTGCAGAATCGAATGAACCTCCCCCTGCCGCACAACCTGCAGAATCGGATGACGTCATAGTGCTACAGTGAGGCCACTCTGCGTACTATGCCATTAATGTACTATGTCTCCTCGCTTACAATTGCAACCCCTATACTATCTCTGATTTTGCAGACGTTGTCCGCTGGATAGAAGAAGAGCGCCGCACCGGCTGCCCAGAGGATGACAGTACTGCAGGTGGCGTTAACATAGAAGTCCTGTCTATGGCATTTATGGGTAGGCGAGTAAAACTCCGGCCTTGCTCCACAAAATCACTCGCCAGGCATGGATCCAATATCTTACATCGTCCAGGCATTTCAGGGCTGTTACTTTTGCGGATAATTCATGGACCCTATGGGACTCCGGAGGGCAATCCGGCTGGACCTCCTCCTTTCCCTGTGCATGGTCAGGTAGTGAACAGTGAAGGGACCTCTCCAAGGGATGGCGGCTGTGCCCTCCCATTGTGTCGTCGCACAGCTACAGTTCGATTAGCATGTACACGGCATAGCCTCTGCTCTGAACATTATGAAGGGATGGTCGCTGCCAGCCTCTGCCACGAAAACTGCGATCCTTTGTCTTGTGCTCGTCTCCCCTCCTTCCACCCCCCCCTCTGATTACTTGCCCTGCATGCCGTTGTGGCCTTGATCTGCCATGCTGAGAACGACAATGGAGTTCCGTATGGCTGGGAGCATGTCGTCGGAGCAGATCCCTAACCCGTGCAGGGGGCGCGTTAATCATGCTGTTCCAGGACAAACGAGGCCGCTGTCTTGGAGGTGGCGATGGAGACGGGGCACGTCTCCGCCGAAAAGGCATCTGTAACAGTAGATCCGATGTTGGATGCCTCTGCCGATGGGGCCTTTGTGACAGCTGATCCGACTATGAATGTGTTGATGATGAGGTTGATGACGAAGGGGAGACATGCAAGGTGGAGGAGGATGAGGAGGAAGAAGAAGAGGGAGAAGAGGAAAAGGAAGAAGGGGAGGCGGATGACTGAGGGAATGATGTAGTAAATGTCGGTGGGGGAGGTGGTGGTGGTGGTGGGGGTGATGGTGGTAGTGGAGGCGGAGGTGGTGTTGGTGACGGTGCACTTTCAGGCGCAGTCGCCATATTGGTAGGATGCAGGTCTCGTCCCTTGCAGCGATTACGCCAAAATTTACACTATTTGGTGCGGCTGGCGTTGTGTGTGCGTGTGTCCGTGAGCGTGTTTGTGTCCGTGCTTGTGCCTGTGCGCATGTCGGTTTGTTGGAGCGACGGGAGAATGTGGCACGACGCAAAACAGTAAATAAAAAAGTAAATAAAAAAGGCAACTCTGCGGCACAATGAAACTTTTCACCCTGTGGTGTAACGAAACTATGTAGATCTCAATTTTTAAGTGGCTATCCAGCAGGACTTGAACTCATGATCTGTCTGGACCATTTTTTTACCCTGTGGGGCAATGAACCCCCCCTTTTTAAACCACCAGTACTTTTGGGCAAC